TCGAAGAGGATGGTTGAAAATGGTCCGTGCATTGAAGATGAATAGTTATATATATATCTAACATAGGCCATAGCCTGTCCACATACTTAGCGCCAAGTCTGGCAGGACCTTGAAAGACCTCAAGGAGCAACAGCACAAGTGAAGGCTGATTTCGCCAAGAACACTTGGGGGCAGCTCCGGGGGATTGGAGCTTCGTTGCCAATGTAGGCCATCAAAATCCCGGTGTGCGCTTGGGTCGCTGGTTGCTGGGGTGTCTCATGAGTCCTGTGCTGTGGCTGTGGGTCATATTCTTTGAGAAGCGTGCAAGAATGGACTAAGGTGTCAGCTGCTGGAGGACAGCCTGCTCCAAGGCAGGCTCCACGACCAGCGACTCTTGGCGGAATTGGCATCTCAAAGAGGAAGAATGTACTGTATTGCTGCTGTATGTATTTTTACATATGTAGACGCAAACCTAACGTGTTGGCTGACACGAGGCGCTCTTATGGGCTTCACATGTGTTGCTGTCCCCTGAGGAATTCTTACACGCCCATGCAGACCATGAGACCTCCAGTGAGCGAGTGGCCTCAGCCTAGACCTTAGACTCGGACCTTGCCGCTTCCAGCTTCAACTGAGTGCCGGACTCAGGCGGGCGAAGCCTCCCAATGTGGCTGCTGGCAACATGGGCATGAACATGGGCATGAACATGGGCATGAACAATGCGAGTTCATCGCTGACCCAAGCTTGAAGCTGAATTGAGCCCTCGTGAGTGAGTCCCTTGCGATGAGAGTGTGAGCTTTGAAAGCTATGCGAGTCCTCTGACTCTGAGGTTCGGAGGGCTAGTGGCGACCCAAACGAAATGCAGGTGCACATGCAAATCCCACCGAAGCGACTTGGCTTTAGTTTAGGTTCCCGGCCCAGGGTGGCTCATGGGGGAGTAAACTGGGTGTACAGCACGTGCTAGATGTCTCTCTTCAGCAGTCATCCCGTTTCACATCGGCATTTTGTCAGCATCAAATCAAAGTGACCAGCAGAACTGGCCTTGTCCTCATTCATGCACTAGATCACTCTAGAGACAGGTTTTCAGGTCTGATCTTTCATTCGAACACCATTATGCCGAACGGCACTGTGAAAATCCATCGGAAAGCTGAGGTACATTGGCCCCATTTTGGGCAAGGAGGGAGCGCAAATAAAGCTGTGGCCTTGGTAGCCGAGACTTTAGGAAGTCAATCTGCCTTGACATGCCCATGCCTTGGCGTTGATGAGGTTAAGAGTCAGGAGTGTTGCCTAAAGAGAAGTAGCAGGGGGAGTAAGTGAGAGTGAGCACGTTGGCATGCCATATCTTTTCTTTGATACAGCACGCAGGAGTTCACCTTTTCAAGAGTCGGAATCACCTGGAGTAGTATTAGCCACTTACAATGATTGCCAGTCATGATGCTAACTGCAGTCAGGTGCACTTATTGTAAGTTTTTCCCCAAGCCCTCATGCCATAAAGATGAGTGCCGTGTGCAAGTCGACCGGCCTTGCCTGGCCAAGGCAAATCGTAACAGAGTCTGGCTGCGCGAATGTGTCTGTTCGGATGCTCGGTCGGAACCTGCGTCTGGCTTCGCCGCCGACTGGGCCACAGCGGATTTTGCAGATCTAGAAAATAGACATTTAGACTGAAAGCCAATGGGGCACTGAGCTGGTCACGCCAATGCTACCTGGATAGGCTTCTCGTCCGCTGTGTTTGGGCTCAGGGACGGCAAGAGCGGGTGGGACTTGTGACCTGAAAGATGAAGAAAGGCCGGGCAGCGAAACAATGCAAGATGCGCATGGCGCAGGGTTGCAGCGTGGCGACGCTGCTGAATTGCGCGGATAATAGTGGGGCCAAGCGCCTTGGCGGCAGTCAGTCGAGTGTTTGGATCCTCATGACTCATGTGGGTTAGGCACAGCCACCTCACCGCTACTTTCGAGAAAAGGAAACTGCTTCAGCCTGCTTGTCGGGGGCCAGAATTTCTGGAACCGACTTGGCAGTATGAATCAATGTCTGGGCCGTCGCAATTGGTGTGCCAGGAATCTTTACATCATTGCGGTGATCGGCATCGGAGGACGCTTGAACAAGCTGCCCAACTGCTCCCCGGGCGACCTGGTCTTGTGCAGTGTGAAGAAGGGAAAGCCAGAGCTCCGAAAGAAGGTGCTGAAGGCGATTGACATGCCTCCCTGGAACATGCGAACATGCTAACGGAATATGAATAATTCTTTGCACTGATCAGGGTCAGTGACAGGGTGGACCACCTCCAGACCACAGAACTACACGGAAAGAGCTGATGACATTCCGATACCGGCCTCTTTTGAGCACCTGAGCACCTGAGCACCAGGGTGTGGTGATTCGCCAGAAGAAGGCCTGGCGCCGCCGCGAGGGTGTCTTCGTATACTTCGAGGACATGCCAGCATCCACCGTACGGCCTATACCTGGAGTTGCGAACGTTTTGCCTGTTTTGCAGATTTTGTTCAGTCAGGATGTTGACCTATTCCTGCAGTAAGCCGCTAGCCTGGCTAGCCCCTATATAAATAAGTCTAGAAGTAGTTCGATATCCTCTTCTTGCTTATGATTCCTTGGGAACTTGGAGGACAACGCAGGGGTGATTGTGAATGACAAAGGTGAGATGAAGGGTTCTGCCATCCAGGCGCTTCGTGTGTGTGTGTGTGTGTGCGTGTGTGTGTAACCCTTGGAATCATAGGGATCCTTTTGGATTGGTCCGGTTTGCTTTTTCGCTTTGTGTTACAGCAGGGGGGCTGGTTGTTCATGCAAGTACCAGCCCAACGAAGAGGCTTGCATTGAACACTGATATCGGTGGGGACGCTCACCGACGTAGCTGCATTTTTTCTTTTCCGGATGGCATGAGGCTAAGCCAAGAACCTCATTGAACTTGACTTTTCTGCACGTATGTCGTCACCTTGTCGTCCGTTCGATCGGTGTTTTCTTTTGGAGTTGTTGGCCACCTGAAACCTTTGAGACCTCCACAGGCTGGACCTCCTCTTCTTTTTTAGGTTTCCTTACCTGTACCCTTAGGAAATGGAACCCTAGGCCGGCGTGTGGCACCGCATTCAGTTCCGTACACCATATCTCAAGTGTGTTTGGCCCTGTGCCAGCCCGGGATGAGCCTGCAGAGTGCCTCCCGTGGACCCGTCGAACGGGTGTACGTCGTTATCTCCCCTGCCCGGAGATGTGATGTAGATGCCCAGAGCGGGCGAAGGTGGCCTAGGCCGTACGTACGATGAATTTTGTCTCATCTTTGGAATTCCAAGTTGGCTCATGCCTTTACGTGACCGCAGCGGTCCAAGCTGGCTTAACGCCTCAACGTGGTCAGAGCGACCGAAGTACTTTTGAGGTTCATTGGAACCTGTCGAGCACTTAGCCCCCCCTTCTCCCCCTTCCCTCCCCCGTTCTTTGATTGTTTTCTGGGGCTTTCCTGAATGCAATACTGTACTCAGGATCACCCCTCTCTTTCTTGGGTGTGTCCCTGGACGATTGTTCGTAGCTGGGAACACCTTCCTTTCCTCTCCCTTTCTCTCCCTCTCTCTTTCTTTCCTTCTCTCTTTCCTCTCTTCTCCCTCTTCCCTGGGTGTCCCTGGATGCTTCGTCATAGCTGGGAGCCCTTCTTTTTGGTGTGTCCCTGGACGCATGTGTCGTAGCTGGGAGCACCTTTGTCTCCTTCTTTCTTTCCCTCTCTTTTCTTCCTCCCCCTGCCCCCTCTTTCCTCGCGCGCGGCGTGTTTGCACGCAAACTAGGCTTCTGCAACAGGTTTCTCTAATGAGGTTTGGTTTGTCAGCTGTTTGTCCCTGTTCATTTGGTTTCCCTTTCATCGGCCCCCACAGACGGTTTTTTTCCTCTTTTCTTTCACGTCTTTCTGTCTTCATGTCTCTTCATCCTCATCCTTTCTTTCTCTTGCGCGCACTATCGTCCGGACCTTAGTTTGTACACACACACGCAACCCCCGATGGAATATCCCCTATAAAATGGACGTACTCGAGTACAAAAACCCCATGTCTTTTTATAGGGAGGCTTGCTATAAAATGATGTGTCAACCTGGTAGCTTGTGGCCAGAATTATGTGGGCCGCCATATAGATAGAGGTCTGCCTGTTTTGACATTTGATTTTATAGGAGTGAGGTGGTATGAGCCCCGATTTTATAGCAGACCAAGCCTTACAATAATTAGAAGTTGGTTCTTGACTTTTGCAAGGATTCATTGGAAGGCAAGAACAGAAAGCCGTTCATGATCTTGATCAAAGACATCATGGACTCTCACACGTAGCATACCGCACATTTCTTTGAAAGCATCGATCGGGGAACCAGCAATCAAGCGGATTGCTTTGGACATCAGAACAATCAGACAAACGCACAGGGGAAAGAACCTGCTCATCGCTGATGCTGTCAGATTTTGCAAACCAAATCCCTATAAATCCAAGTCTCAGCCCAGTTGAACCCAAACAACTCACTATAAATTCAATTCCGACCTGGGCAAAATAAAGGTAAATCTACCTCAAACCTAGATCATATTTTACGTCTTATTTCTGATTTCGGGCGCCTTAGATGTTGAGACTTGATTTTATAGAGATTTACTGATTCATGTCGAGTCTTCATTTTATAGTGGAGAGATTGCTTGCTGGATGTTGGGGCAGGCGATTTATGTGTATAAAATCACGCTCCCCAGACCTACCGGTAATTCCAACGGGGATTACACGCACGCGTATTACTTACAGCGAGGTTCAGGTGGCCCAGGTTCGTTACAATGAGGTTTGGCTCATCGGTTGTCCCTCTTCACTTGGTTCCTTTTCATCGGCAACCACAAACACCTTTGTCTGTCTTGTCATCTGTCCCTTTTGCGTGCACATGTGCCTACCTCCTTTCCGGGCAGGATGGAGGTCACACATGCCTCCCTTCGGGGAGGCGTGTGTGTGTAACCCTTGGAATCATAGGGATCCTTTTGGATTGGTCCGGTTTGCTTTTTCACTTTGTGTTACAGCAGGGGGGCTGGTTGTTCATGCAAGTACCAGCCCAACGAAGAGGCTTGCATTGAACACTGATATCGGTGGGGACGCTGACCGACGTACCTGCATTTTTTCTTTTCCGGATGGCATGAGGCTAAGCCAAGAACCTCATTGAACTTGACTTTTCTGCACGTACGTCGTCACCTTGTCGTCCGTTCGATCGATGTTTTCTTTTGGAGTTGTTGGCCACCTGAAACCTTTGAGGCCTCCACAGGCTGGACCTCTTCTTTTTTAGGTTTCCTTACCTGTACCCTTAGGAAATGGAACCCTAGGCCGGCGTGTGGCACCGCATTCAGTTCCGTACACCGTATCTCAAGTGTGTGTGTTTGTGCACGACAACTTCCCAAATGAGCATTCACTCAAGTTCCTGGAAACCAAAGGCCATCCCGTTGACCTCCTGTTTCGCCAGGGGCCTGTGGCCAAAGAGTGCGCCGAGCTTTGGCCAAAGATTGCCTCCTGTGCTCCTGCCATTTGCTGAGCCTCGTGGTTCTGTTGGACCTGCCTCCGCCCGCAGCCAAAACAGAACATGAGAAGAGCTCTAAGCTCGGGATGGGAGACGCTTGGGTCTCGGTGGAGCGCCCCGTGAAGGATTGGTGCTCTGTTTTTCCGCGCATTTTTGGCATCAATTTCAGTGTGGCCGCGTTGCGGCAATGAAGTTTGGCAAAGGCTCCAGGGCATCCATGCGAACCGTCGTTTCTTTTTTTTAATGGTTCTTTGGTTCGAGAGAGCCTTTGCGGTTCAGAAGGGGCATCATCCTCTCATCCGGTTTTTGGGAGTTTGCGAGGATGCGAGCAACTAAGGTCACAAAAAGAGAAGCTGGATCGCAGGAGCGACGCGTGGTCTTTGTTGGAGGCAGGATCTTGGACTTCGAGTCTTTGAGAAGCGGTGCGCAATTGCCCTACCAGCGAGTGTCATCACTGCCCTACGTCACTTAGTCTCAGTGTAGTTTCGGCATGCTGCCAGGATTCGATGAATGTGCGAGAGCTCAGCAATCCGTGATGAGCTGAGTGCAGATCAACGTCTTCTGCAGCGCCTCTCTGACGTCTCCTCCCGCAGAGTTCAACAATTGCTTTCAATGTCTCCATGTGAGGTTTATCAAATCTATGCGGGTGCTGCAGCTGAAGCCGGTGAGGAGGCATGGCGTGAACCATGGAGTCCATTTGAGCGACGGGTTTGTGATCGGCATCCAGGTCAATCCAGGTCTTTGAAAACAGTTAAAACTTGTTCCTAGTAGCCCCTTGTTCCTAGTAGTACGGCCAGGAGCCACCATTAGCGCCCTTGCTCCCAGTAGCGATGCCCAAATCTCAACCTTCTCTGGCAGGCAAGCCTCACCTGCTTCATGATGGCTGGGCAGCCTGGAGCTATCACGGTTCTTACAAAAGCCTGCCGTTGCATGTCTACATCCACAGTTCGCCCCTGTGGTAACCCCGAAAAGGGGTTGGAGACATCTTCCCACAGTGCCCAGACCCAAGCCCGGGTGTCCCCTCGTGCTTTCCGAGATGAAACACAACTTCTTTCGAGACATTCTGGTTGCATGCATGAAAACACGTTTCAACCATGGTTCCATATACCAAAGGGCAAAATCCTCACACTCTCACTCATGATTGAATTTTGATGTGGACCTCTGAACGCGTGCCAGCTTTGGTTTCCTTAGGGTGCTGCAGCGACTGCCGTGCCTGCACAGTCTCAGGTCCCGACAACCTCTGCAGGGGCTGTGATCGGCAAGCAGGCCGCCGGCGGCAAGCCGGTCGACGTGCACAAAAAGCAGCCAAACTGAAAGAATCATGCAAGAGGGTTCCTAAGAGAACAGGTTAAAGATGAATACAGGGATGTGAAATCGGGGCAGATTCGGTGGGACGCCTGGTCGGATTGGTTAGTCTGTGGTCCTATTTTGTGGTCCATTGGGGGCAGCCAGCCGGGCGCCCGATTCCAGGGAGCCAATCTGAAGGAGCTCCGTGAAACGCATGGAGCTAAGACGGGAGAAGGACCCAAAAGAGCTTCCCAAAGATGATAGAAGCAGCACAAATCTGACACACTGTTTTTGTATACATAGACAGTATGCATGTATCTCTGCAATAATCTTTATGGTTGTAGGGTGCCACCTCCAACAGAATGTGGGTGAGACAGTGAGACCGGGTGAGGGGTCTGTAGTTGTTGGCTTTCGAAAGGCGGAATACATCAGAATCAGAACTAAAGCATCTTGTGTGGTTGGAGATGAAGATGTTGGCCAGCTGAATGGCGGATGGGTTGTTCTCTTGGCATCTCAGGCTCAGCTTGAAGGTGATACTTTCAAAAGAAGAAATTGAAGGCCATTTGGGGCGGAACTGTCTAACATTCTGTGATTCCCAGCGGTGACAACTTGGGTTGGCGCCCGAACAAGACACAACAATGTCGTCATAGTGTGAGTGTAGCCGGTGTGCACGATGTGACTTCTTATTGAAACGGGCGTGCTTTTGTCATCAGAGAGGAACGGACACCCCTGTATGGATTTGTGGAGATTTGTAACAAGAAGCTACTAAGTTACTAGGAACAAGTGCATCGCTTCTAGTAACAAGTGCCTTACTAGTAGTAACAAGAAGCTATTAGGAAGATTTGTATGGGTTTGCGGGGTTCGCCATTGCCCTCAGGCTTCAGACCCTGCACATTGAGCGGGTCCGGTACTCAGCCCGCAAGTGTGAGGGAAATGCAAGCACTCGAGAGAAACGTGTTCGTTTCCACTTCTGTAAGAGCTGAGTAGTTTTGCTTTATGGATGAAGTGGCTGAGCTCAAGGGTTGAAGAACTGGTCCTGCGCAGGGCTCTGGACTCCATCCTGGAAGCAGAAAGACGCATCCAGGAACAGGCGTTACAGCATGGGTGGCAGGGTCACAGCAAGTTATATAGATGAAGGTCGAGCGTTGCTAGAGTTGGCGGGGTTCTTTGATGAGGGCCTGCGTGCCCTTTGCAGAGTGGCCGCGTGCCTGGGCAGATCGTGTCTCCGGATGGTCCTCCTCCTTCCAATGGCGGCGTGAAGCGGTTGCTGGACGCTCCTCGGCTCGAGTCCAGTGGGTCAAAGCAGAGGCACTGAGCAGCAACTACTGTGGGTCACTGCAGATAGATGTGAAATGGCGGTGCCTCGACCCACCTTGAACCCTAAGGCTCCAGAGCCAGAGCCCTTTGAGAACAAGTCCCATGGGACCTTCATCAGCGCATATAGTGAGCCAGAGGCATCACTGTGTGGCTTTTGCGACTATGGTATTTGGGTTCCGATCATTTCTGACCAATGCCGTGAACATGTAACATGCGCTTGTTTGCTTACTGGGACGGGCTGACATTGCCATTGTTTGTTGGCAAAGTTGTCTCCGTGTGTGTTGGTTTGTGCAGATCTTGCAAGACATCGAGCTTTGCCAATATAGAAGCAAGTAACATCAAGTAACTATATAGATGTACTGAGTACTGTAACTAGAATTGTTTTGAGCTTCTCTCGGCTTTTCAAGCTCTCACAGATCCGTTTCTGTCCTTCCTCGATGTCCTTTCTCTTTGCCCGTCTCCCGGCCTCCGTCGCTCGGACGGTCTTGTCAGGCCAAACGACCTCGCCCATCCGCCGCCGCACCAAGAACCACGAGTGAATCAACGAAGATCTTAGTGACGGGGGCCCCAGGCATTGGGATTCCAATAGCTGTGCATGGACTCGGATTTGGGATGTAGGGGAAGTTTGAAACTTGAAAGATCCTTGAAGCTTTTGGTAAGGAGTCGGATTCCATTGCTGTAGGTGTTGCAGTGTATGTAGATAACTATCTCTCCCTCTCTCTCTATACTATACATGTGCATATAAACTTCGCGGTTTTGCTGCGGCATGCTTGACTTTCCAGGCCTGCAAATGTGGCAGGGGCCATTATTGGCAAGCAGGGTTCGACCCTGAAGCAAATTCGGGAAAGCTTGGGGCTTAGATTCTTCATTCCTGAGAGGTGTTTGCACGGCTCAGTGTGGTAGTGATGTACAGTATTTTTGCGTTCAACATCGCCCGGGCAATTCTTGTGGCGGAAGTTTCTCCCCAGCAGGTAGGTCAAAACCTGTTTAAATCCCTACTTTTCCTGTACTTTGTCCCGAAAGTTCCCTTTTACTTTTTTCTTTTGCTTGGGCCTTGAGTGTTTAGATTTTGTTTTCCCTTTGATTTCATCGCTTCGCCCATCGATTCTGGCATTGAGTGGGTGTTGTCGGAGTCCGTCCTGAATTGGTCTTTAGAACAGTTTCCCTCAGACTCCACGCCCTTGTTTCCAACTGACAGCCTCAAAAGATTTGCACAACCACATTCTTGTGACGACCCCATTATCCCATGTCCATGTCTTGCCCAAAGTCTCATTCTATAAGTAGTTTAATTCAAGGTCTTTCTTACTTCGTTTCCGTGATCACTCCTTTGTGCCATGCGAACCTTTGTGCCAGTGCAGTTTTTCAGAGGGTGTTTGCTGGGCATGAAGTGCCGTCAGGGGTACTGTAGAACGTCGGTCAATTCTCTAGAAAGATAAAAATGACCGGATAACCCCACATCTGAAGCTTTAGCGTTTATATTTATAATAAAGTAAGTGGAGGCAACAGCTCAAGGAAGAGAAGTGATATCTGATAGCGGATGAGTGTATGTGGACGATGAGTGGAGATGTGAAGTAAGATGGTGAACATATGAATGTGACTGAGTGAGAGTGAATCAACCACCCAAGGAAACGCAAGGACAACCCGCTGAGTGTAAGTGAGTGAGTGCAAGTGAGTGCAAGTGAGTGAGTGAGTGAGTTGAATTGAGTGGAGTGTTGAGTTGGTCGAGACGGGTTGGTGTGACGAGGAGAGGACGGAAGGTCGGAGGCAGCTGGGATGCTCGGGATGCCCGGCAAAAGTAAGAACCCCACACCAAGATGTGCATCTCACAGGGAATCGCAAGGAAGGGCAAGGGCAGCGACCAAGGCGTCAGGAGAGCCTCCCACTCAAAGGCAGGGAAACGCAAGTGCAGGAGGCAGCCCACCAGCGCCGCATGGCGCGTCTAAGACCAAGAGCTAGCAAAGCGCAGCAAAACGCAAGGTCGGTGGAAGTGAAAGTGAGTGGGGAAAAGGGATGAGTGCAAGTTGTGTGAGTTGAGCTGGCGTGGGTGTCAGTGAGGGTGAACATACTGTAAGCGAGTGAGTGAATATAAGTGAATGAGTTGAGTTGGTGTGTGAGATGAGTGAGGAGGCTGAGGAGGGCCGACGGGATGCAGAGCAAGAGTGAAAAAATATATAAAGAACCACATGTCGTTCCTAGGTGCCCAGTAGTAACAGGTGCCTTACTAGTAGTAACAAGAAGCTACTAGGAACAAGTGCCACGCTAGTAGTAACAAGTGCCTTACTACTAGTAACAAGAAGCTGCCAGTGAACCAGCACCGCTGGCTCCGTTCAGCTGCCGATGCAGGTTCCGGAGCGTCCATTGATGTGGTGAAAGAGGCCCTGGTTGGAGACATTGGCATCAGTGGAAGATCAAAACACAGATCAGTGTTGGTTTTCCTTTTTTGACATGCAAAGTTCCATAGAGAGCTTCCAATGTTTCAGGAAGCAGGAAACAGGATGATGGTTAAATCAAGTCACCCTGTAGCGCGCTTACCAGCGCCGTTTGGACTCGGCTGACATTTCCTGCCTTCCAGACCCAGACGCCTGAATTTCCTGGCGAGCGTGTGAGACTCAGTTTCTTTCGATGGCTTCCCCTTGAAGTGGCTTGGCATTCCAGCATTGTGCTACAAAACAATCTTGTGGGAGGGTCCTCCATAGCTTCAACAGGGCCATGACAACCATCTGGGAAAGACACGATCAAAAGTAGACGGTGGTTGCGAAGGAGCGCGGCCAGTCGCTTAGGTTTTTTGTTGATCATGGCCAGTCATGTTGGGCCGAGGTGTGGTGAATGTCAGGGGTAGCTTAGATGTTCGACGGAATGCGTTGCCTCAGGCGCAATACGGAGGGAGCCGAAGTTTGAAGTGTAATCAGATCGGAATGCGTTGTTTCTATTACCTGCGCGACAAGGTTGAAGTAGGAAAGCACCAGCAGGAATAACAGTTGTGGTGCTTCAGAACCTGAAGGTTTTGGGATTCTGTGCGTGACACTGTTCGTCGGGAGGTGCTTACAGCCGCCTTTGAGAAAGATCCAGCTGTCATGGCCTTGGCTACAACATCGTTTGAAGTTTTTGTGATCTTGAGAAACCAGCAACGCTCAGAAACTCTGCTGTCACTTTGCGCTACTTGAGTTGCTTCAGTCCTTTCAAGAAAAGGGAGTCGGAGGTGGAGCAAACCGATAAGCTAAAACTTAGCCTCTGCACTCTTTTAGTTCAATCCTCGCGTGGTTCAACTCCATGTTTACCCTCACCAACCATATGCCCAGCCATCGCAAATCGCTGCTCAAACCTTTGTGGTCATGAAAGTGAAAGTTTCCGAAAAGAATGACCGATCCAGCCGTTGTGGTTCACCATTCACAGTGACTCACAGCGATTCACTGCGGTCTACCAGTTCCAGAATACACCTGCGTTTTGTGGGTGGCGAGCCACTCACCTCCCAGCCACTCACCTCCCCTCGGGACCACTGAGAATGCCTTGATCAAGATGATGGTGCCCAGCAACCTTGTGGGTGGCATCATTGGCCGGCAGGGGGCCAATCTAAAGGCCGGGCTGGCTTGAAGTTGCAAGCTGTTTGAGGGGAAGAGCCTGGCTTTGGACGATGATAGTGCGACATGAGTCAACCAGTCAACCTTCATTTTCCATGACCTTGCCGTGACAGGGATTGACAGAATGATGTCAAAACAGTGATGATGAATGAATCACCGTGCTACATCTGACAGAGCAGCACTGAAGTGGGGCTCAATACAAGGATCTTCCATCCCAGATTGAAACTGGACGGCCTGATAGAATCGCTTGAGATGCCGAGACCACATTTGTCCTGCTCCAGGCTATTCGAGAGCAATGTGGCATCCATGTGCAGGCAAGGTGCCTTTTCTTGTCCCGCGGGCATAGCTGACAAAAGTCAAGGTGATTCAAGGCGGGTTATTGCCGGGTCTGCCGAGTGCAATGATCATTTTTCCTTCTTTTGCGGAAACTGTGAACTGAGATATGTGAAATCATCGCATGGTTTCTGAGATGATGGGAGCAGAAAACAGGTCAACATTGTGTGAACACACAGCTTTGGCCGGTCACAGCGGGCTTGGGACCTGTTGGGATTCTGCCAAATATTGGTATTAGCCAGGGGAAATATGCCACGGTAGCATTTGTGCAAGAGCCACCAGATTTCATAGCGAGCTTGCAGCATCAGGTGGGTCAAAAAGACCAGCAAACTGTCCACGGCGAGCGGATGGCTGCAAGCTTAGCGAGCCCTGAAAACCATGCCAAAACAACACCGGAAGCCACGCCCCGACAGGCAGCGCGACAGATGTCTCACCCTAGCATGCATTAGCACCTATTGGCACCTATATAATCGCCTGATTCTGGCATAGTGGTCCAAAATCAATGGGACATTTAGTGCAACTGACTATATATTTGGGGATCTCTATCACCACCTGGCCATACCACCGGGTCACCTGGCCATTCAGCCGTTTTTGAGGTGTTTGCCACTGGTGGCTTGGAGCAGGTGCTCAGTGCTGCGGCGCTGGTCTTGGACTCCGCTGAGGTGGCGTGCGTGAGTGACTGGTGCGGGTTTGGCCTCCAACCTGTGGTGGTGACATGGAGAAAACATGAGAAAGCTCGTGCTGTACGGCGTACATTGGGGCTAAAGCAGGCATGCTAAAGCTAGACTCCAAGACTATCCAAGACTCCTAGACAAGGAACAAAACGCCGAAACGCCCACCTTTGGGAGGAGAGTGACAGAGGCTGCTGCAGCTTGTGCCCAAAACAGACGCTCAGAGGCTCAGAGGCTCATGCGAGGATAGATGACCCGCCATGCCCCCATGGCGGGTCTCTGCGGACCGCTCTTTCGGACCCGCCGCAGCGCCGTCGCCGCCCGTTCGCTGCCCTGGGCTTTTGCGTGATGCATCTCCTCCACCACCCTCTCTCCCAGACAGTGAGGTGGAGGAGCCTGAAGAGCCACAGCATAAGCTCCATGCTGCAGTGTGGCTTGGAGACACCCAAGCAGTGCAAGCAGTCTTGGAGCGTCGTGCTGATGTGAATGCCGAAGATGTGCATGGGGTTACTCCCTTGATGCTCGCTGTTGAGCTCATGGAGCGTTCGGAGGAGTATGAGCAAATGGTCGAGTGCCTGCTGAGCCATGGTGCACAACCACGACAGCGTTCTGGTGCTGGATGGTCCCCTTTGGATGAGGCTGTGAGCCGAACTGATGTGAAGCTCGTACGAACTCTTTTTGACGCCGTGCAGAAGGATTTGCGCCGTCGATGGGATGTACGCTTGGCCTCCATTGCCAAATCGTTGTGCTTACTTCCGGACTTTGAGTGTCAGATACGCTGGGAGTTTGAATCACCGGTGATTCCGCTGCTGAGCAAGATTGCACCCTCAGACGTGATACTTGTTCGAAAGAGAGGAAGCTGCCTCCGCCTCGACTCGACTCTCGCTTCGTGGAAACGTTTCAGGTTTAGCAAACGGCGGAACCTGACTACATTGTTCATCGGAGAGAGATTGAGTGAGGGGCTAGATGGGATGAGCTCAGGCACACCCCGTGCGTTGTTCATGATAAACCATGACAAGGAGGCGATAGTGGATATGACCCAAAGCCTTGACAGTGAAGAAGTGGCAGCTGTTGTTGAAGATTTGGTGAAAGCTGATGCCGTGCAATGGGACATGAAGATTGCCAGCTTGGATGTGTCAGAGTCCACTACATGGCTGGGATCCTTGCTTGGGCCTTGTGAGCTAAATGGTTGGACCTGCATGCGCTATGGGGTCAAGGGGGAGCTTGGGATGACCCTTCGCAAAAAGGGCTGGCGCATCCAGGACGTAACATTCCAGGAATATTTCGGGCAACCTTTGCCTGCGGATGCTTGCTTACCCGAGCTGCGGCGGAAATTTGCGGCTGCGAAAGAGGAGCTTGCGCCGGAGGCGCTCAAGCTGTCCCGTGCAGAAACTGACCATGGCTTTGGCTTTGCAGATGACGACTCCGAGGCTGGATCGGTTCACTCGGAAGTATTGGACCAATGGCCCCAGGAGAACGCTCCCCTGCCGGTGACGGTCAAAGTAAACGCACCGGTTCTGACGCCTCAGCCGCCACAGCCCAGCCGCCCGCTGGAAGCACGAGATCGGTGTGGGAGCTCTACACATCGAGTTTCTGGCAGCGTTTGGCTGGCGACGGACTTTCCCATTGACATGGAGCAGTTTGTGCCAGTCTTGGACACCTTGGCCGTGGAGCACAGTCCCATGAAGCGCCTCAAGGAGATCCTTAAGAGTGAGAGCCTCCGTGCTGCAGCGCAGCGCGCCCGGAGCTCGGTGGAGACCTGGAGCCGTGGACCGTCCCGAGAGTCGGAGCCCGAGAATCGCGGCCCTCGCGGGCTCCGGACCGTGTTCCCGGTGCGTGCGTCGGTGCCGGTGAACTTGGCCATCCGTGCCACGATGCATGTGGAGGCCTTCACCCTGAATGAAGGCCTTCCGATGAATGCCTTCCAGTTGCCTGCAGGGTACAAAGAAGTCCCTCGGAGTCAAGTACAGAAAACGGCGAGCCGTGCCAAGAAGCGCATGCTCATCGCAAATTTGGCCTTGTGAAAATCAATCCGTCGGGGGCAAGGGGGAAGGTTGTGAGGGATGCAAGTTCAGAACCTGAGAACCAATGTGCCAAATGCAAGTGCGTGCTTTGTGCATTTGCCCAAGCCTTTCCATCCTTTAACCTCCCCTTGTGTCCCTTCGCTTCCGTTCTCCACCCCCGCAAGCATGTCCACGCCACAAGGGCACTCGGAGAAGATCCCCATTACAATTTTTCAGGGAGGCATGCAAGTGGTAGCCAATCTTCACGTGCCACACCAGCCGCAGGCTGCTGCAGCTCCAAAATCGGCAGGGCACCAAGTGGCCAGTGGCCGTAGCTGGGAGAGGCCAATCAATTACATAAGAGGACTTTCAAGGTACTTCTTGAGAATCTTTGAGACAGATTTGTTGCTGTCGTATGCTTTCGTGACTGGTTGCCATGAAGGCCCACCATTTGCGTTTGTCCTCCATTGGTCCAGGCCGTGGCTGGAGCTTTTCCAGAGGCTGGTGGCTGCATGTGGCCGCACGGTGAAAGGGCGGGCAACTAATTTGGTTTGAGTCTCAGGATGCCCCATTTTCTTTTAAACATTGGTTTGCCTCATGCACTTGTTGTCTTTGGGGTGGTTCCCCTTCCGTCTTCATGTTGAAAGGTCATCCGAAGGGAGCTTCCGCGTGCTGCGCTGTCAGGCAATGGAGTGAGCTGAGAATGGTCGACTCACGATCTGGAGGTCCGAGAGTCCGAGAGAGGTAACTTTTTCCGAAACGCGATTGAGGGCTTTAGTCTAGGATGAGAGAACCAACAAGACCTGACGCGCATCTTGGCTATCGGAGTGTAGGCTGTACGCCTTACGTGGCACGATCTTCTTGACTGTCCCAGTCGCATTGCTGCATTGCAGCAGCATGAGGTGGAAAGCCACACCGCGATCCCTGAGCGCAGTGTGGCAGGGGCGTGGCCTCAAGCTGCGTTTGCAGACCCAACTTGCAACCACTCTGGATATCTTGATCGCCCCGGCCAGGAGCTTCACTGGCAGTTAGTTAGGTGGCAAGTAGCAAATGAGATGACTACTCATCTATGGAAAATGGGCGAGAGATCACTGTGTTGATCTGGCTCCGTTATGAGGGGCCACTGACTGGTTGAGATCGTTTCTGGTTGATGCTGCTTGCTGGTGCCACGACAGATCCTTAGGTCCTAGTGGTATGAGGCAAGAGTTGTGCGGTCAGTGGTGGCCATGTTTCACGTTTGGGCAGAGTTGGTTTCAATGTGAGATTCAGCAGCCATGTGGGCAAGCCGGCCAAGCCGTTTGGTGAGTTAACACGACCGCCAGGCTCGCGCCTAAGAGATGGGTCATGGGCAACTTGGGCTGGGGTGGGGCCTGAAAACAGGGAATGAAGTTGGATGAAAGCGTGTCCGTTTAACGTACCGCCTGCGAGTAAATACTGTAAATACTGTACCTCAAATCACAAAAACACGCACACACACACACACACACGCAGAGAGAGAGAGAGAGGGAGAGAGAGATATATATACATAAACACATGTATTTTAGATATGGTATGATGTATACTATAAGTATATATTTATATTATATTCGTGTGTATGGTTGTGGGCCAAAGGCTTAGGCCGAGAAGGACTCAAAGGCAGACGAAGCCCACCTCCACAGGCCGAATGGCTGGCCTTTGTTGCTGCCATGAGAGTTGTGGACTCAATCTGAGTGCACAGAATTCAGGGAGAAAATATATAATGGAATGTGACAGATGGGCTCTTCTGTCAGTCGGCACGAAGAGCAGAATCTGTACAACCAGATGACGCAGTCCTCCAAGTCTGGTGGTGAAGTGGTAGAAGCTTGGCTCGACTTGGCCTCCACTTGGGCAGCTTACCGGTGAGTCAGGTTACGAGTCTGAAAGCTCGGACGATGAAGAAGGCATTGCTGAGGCTGTGGGACGGTCGAGCAAGGAATCAGGAAGTAGACCGAGGTGGACATTGAAGAGACCATACCACAGTTGCTCCATGAAATTTCCCCAGTAGATTGTTCGTGTATCAACTGTGGCCCTTCTGCAGATCGGCAGTTTGTACCGCCTGCTTCAGATATGGCAGGTGACCCTGCACATTTACGACGTTTCTCGAAGTGAGAAAATCGAAATGGCGGCAGCCTTGTGAGATGCAATCACAGCCCCAAGTTTGGACAAGAGGAAGTGCTGTGGATCCAAATCCAGTTTTAAACTTGGCCTACTTCAATGACTCTCGTGTATGTTTTTCCCGAATGCGTAGCGAAGGGTTCTCGTTTAACTCTTGGGGGTCTGGGGGTAGAGCCTTGTTCGCGATCCGTTGTTTCTACGTCCGCAACCGTCCGCAACCGTTCGCAACCGTTCGCAACCGTCCGTAACCGTCCGCAACCGTCCGCAACCGTTCGCAGTAGAGCGCTAAGGCGCTGCCATTGGGGGAAGCTTTTGCAAGTGACTATGCATGGATGTGTCACGTGTGAGTTTGCGACGCGAGTCCATTGTGATTTGCGTGAAAAGGACATGTCGCGCAAGAAGCGTGATGCATTTCGCTGCACAGGCGCAGCGTTTCGTGAGATCCGCAGTTTGCGACGCAGTTCCGTTGGGAAAAGCGCTTGGAGTGTCGTGTTTTTGGGGTGTTGGATGTGGCCGTGCCATTGGGATTTGCGTTTCAGGGTGTGGCATCGAAGCTCTGTTTTCGTGACAAGTCTCAGCTGAAATGCCGATTTTGGTGGATGGGAGTGTGCTCAGAACGGGTCGAAGTCATTCCAAGCGTGTGGTGTGGTGCAAATTTTGTTGAAGCTCACATGAGATGATATTGTCACTTTTCGTGGCAGGCGCAGTACTTTGTGTGGGCTTTGAGGCGTGGAAGTGCGATTCTCGTGGCAGGCGCAGGGAATGGTGAGGTTGCGAGGTGTGACGGAGGTGACATTTCGTGGCAGGCGCAGTACTTTGTGCGGGTTAGACATGTGGATGCGGAAAGATTCGTGGCAGGCGCAGGGAATTGCGAGGTCGTGAGTTGTGGTAGAAGTGAATGTCGCTGTCACAGTGGGATTGGCGTGTGAACGGGTGTTGTTTGGAGGGGCTGGACTCGCGAAACTGCTTGGCAGGGCTGCGTGATGTGTGTGCTCCGATGGGTGTTTCTGCCTGACTTTTGGAGGAAGTCTCGTACGATATGCTCGTTTTGCAGACTTTGACATGTGACTTTTGGAGGAAGTCTCATACGAAACGCTCGTTTTGGAGACTTGACACGTGACTTTTGGAGGAAGTCTCGTACGAAACGCTCGTTTGGGAGACTTGACATGTGACTTTTGAAGGAAGTCTCGTACGAAACGCTCGTTTTGGAGACTTGACGTGTGACTTTTGGAGGAAGTCTCGTACAAGAGTATCCCACAAGAGTTTGCTACAAGAGTGTCCCACAAGAGTGTCTCACAAGAGTGTCCCTTAAGAGT